GCAACAAGGAAAGAGGTGGAGCTATCTGGGTCAGAGTGGGACCCAGGGAGGCTGACTTCCCCCTTGGCCTGAGCTTCTGCATCCCTCGTCTAGGGACAGATCCAGGTTGCCAGTGTTCTCCCACGCCCGACTGTGGAGATGTTTAGCTCCAGCAAAGGAAGGGTGCAAGTTAGGTCTGAAAGACCATCAGAAAGGGTCAGAGAGGAGTCTGGATGCCATTCACAAGAGATGATGGACTGCACAAGACATACATGGGAGGAGGGGATGATGGGGAGTGTTTCCAGTGATTCACAAGCAACATATGGAAACTCCATACCCTCCTCTACTGGCATGGTCATTTGATAGTCAGAACTACTGCCTCTTTCTGGGGAGACTCCATTCCCAACCATCAAGCACCATAAGAAGCTAAAGAGGATCCCTCTGAATCAACCAGCAGTCCATCTCACATTGTCCCACCAGATGTTTCTGAGAAACCGCAAGTGGAACAACCAGACAAGAGGACTTCCCTACGGTTGCTCTGCAGCAACCAGTACTAAGAAGCTCCAGAAACCTGAAGGTTTTATTTAGCAACTTGATCAATAGTCATCTATAGACCAGCAGATTCCAGTATGAGTTTGTCTTGGAGGAACACAAGCTCCAGGCAGGTGTCTGTTGAATGCAAGTTCTCCTGGACAGGCCTGGAAACCTTTATTATTTTATTTAGATCCAAACAATCCCCGGTGGTTGGGACTTAACACTGCCCCGGGCAAACCATTTCATCTCACTTCAGGCTTGTCTCCAGACAAGAGTGCTAGTACTTTTCAACACTAACTAAAAACAAAACAAAGCCTTCGTCAGCCAGCTGTCCTCCAACGGAACCACAACTCCCATTATCCACCACAATGGCTGGGATCATGGGGGATGTAGTCCAACACATCTGGTAGGCCCCCGGCTGGGGAAAGCTGCCTTAGATGTGGCTTTTAAAAGGTGAAATAAAGCCACTCTCTTCTTCGAAACCACAAAACAAGTCAGGCAGTGTTTGAAGTGCCTGGATTTACACTGATTCTCCCTCGATCATCCACGGTCCCAAAAGGAATTAGTATGCAGCCCAAAGAGGGAGAACTGCAGAGGGCAAGAAGAAAAGCTGCCATTTGGATGGAAATCAGGGGTAAAGACATAATCTACCATCCGGCTAAAAAGCCGATTTGCTGCTTCACAAGAAAAGCTATGAAAGGCCCATGTTGACTTTAGGCAACACAAAAGATTCCTTAGACCTTTCATGGGAACTAAACCAACTGCCACAGAAGAAAACCCAAAGAGGAGGGAGAAGAAAGCCGCCTCTGTCAAGCAAGGTTCATTCACAACTCCACAGACGCCACCAATCACACTGAATACATAAACAAAATAAGAAGGCTGGAATGGTGTTTGGGTAAAGACGAGAGGGGGAGGAAGGAACGGAGGAAGAATAGAGACCCATCCCTGGCAATCCATCACTGTCCGTTCCTCAACTGATAGAACCGTACAGCAAATTAAGACACAAAGCAGCAGAAGAAGCCTTATCTTAACAGCAGCTGACCATGTGTTTTTCCAGACTTTACCATCACCAAATTTTCTCAAAGCACGAGCAGAAAAGACACCACATTCAGAAAAATTCCCTAGGAGAGCCTGCAACAGTGGAACGATTCCCTCTTTCCCTCCAAGGGATGCAATTTAATGCCTTCCACAAATCTGGGGGGAAAGAATAATTCAGTGATGCAGGGGCTGATGTTTGATATCATGTTGGACATCTCCAAATGGATGTACAGGATTTTGCCATTCCTGATTTACACGGTGGGACCTTCTTTTCACTCATCATTGGATCTGCAGGTCAAAACATTGAGTGTTGGGAAGCTTCCATGATAAATGGGTGTGCTTTGAAGATGGCCGTTCCAACTCAACCAGAGCTTTCAAAGATAACATTGGGTGGGGGGGGGGTTGAATTGCTTGAACTCACAGATCTCCAGTGCCCCTGTGCATGCCTGCCCGTTTCTGACCTTTCAACTCATTTGTGTGTGCCACGACAAATCTATTTAGCATTTCTATTGCCTATTCCCTTCTCCCCACCCCCTTTTAAAAGACAGAAAGGGAGAAATCCCTCAATTGAGCACTTCAAAGAGATGCTAATATATAAAACAGGACCAGTGTTCATTATGCAATTAAAAATAGATATAATTCAATATACATCAAAGTGATTTCAGAAGGAGCCGCATAATTAAAGAGAGGATCACAGACCTAATGAGTGTGCTCCCCTCGAACCTTGCATCTATTCCTCAGGCTAAACAGAGATGGGGGAACATGCTGCGGATCACAAAAGCCCTGCCCGTACTTTAAAAAGAAGCCTCTAAGAGACAAGCCCCTGAAACACCAGAATACCAGAGAACAACCCACACCCTAAAAATACAACTTGGCATTTTTAAATAAAAGCAATCTTTGCACATATTCCTAAACATCAAGCAACTGATTTCTTCCTCAGACCCAACAGTTTTAGTCAGAGAACAAGGCTCATTTTGTTTCCAAAGCGTTTTTCTTCTGAAGGTTCAAAAGGGATGCCCCCTTATTAAAAATAAAAACTAAACAGGGAAGAATTATACTTCTCTGTTTTAGAAGAGGAATTCAAGGTTATCTTCCATGTTTCTCAGAGTACCCCAGGGCCCTTTCTGAGTTTGCCCCAAGCATTGCAAAAACCTGCTCACGACCTTATCAGTAGCCACGCCACTCAGCTCTAGAAATAAAACACAGAAATTAACCAAAAGGGATTCCAGACAGAGAATTCCTAGTGCTACCAGTAAACAATCATTCCATCTCCCCAGCCTGCTTAAAAGGTGCTTTATGGTAGGAAAAAGACATGTGGGAAAATAGAACAGAACAGAACTACAAATCAAAGCAGGCTGCCTGTAAAATTCCATGAATGCAGCCTTGTGAGAGCATGGTAGACCTGTCCCCCCGCCCCCCGAGTTGTTTTTACCCATGCTCAGATGAGTCAGGGCTTTTACCCTGGTCCCTGATTTTTCCTCAGGTCTGCTTTTCAAAGCAGGGCCCCAGCAAAGAAATAGAGGCAGTCTAGTTTGAACTGGGAAGAAAGGGTCACCCAGCAAATACCCATATCCCTGTAAGCTTTCCCAGGATCCCTAAGGGTGACAAGCCATTGCTGCATATTAACATCTGTTCTGAGCTGCAACTCTGCTCTAAGGCGAGTTCCTGGATCTTCATCCTTCTCAGCACATTCCTGCTTGCCCGCATGGTCCTTCTCTTTGGACTTTTTACGCCTGTACCGAATCTCAAGTGTTGGGTCTCGCTCCCTGCACTTCCTGAAGTACCATTCCCAAATGGCCTTTGCCATCTTCTCAGTAATGTTAATACTTATCATGAGACCATCCATTTCAGGCTTGCAACGGAAACAGTAAACAGGGGCAATTTCTCCATTTTCTAATGTGGATTCCCCACCCAAAACAGATCAGGTAAGTATTAAGGTGAGTTACACTACGCAAATCACAGCTTCAAATAGTTAGGACAAAATATGGATCTGGCCTTTGAATTGTGAGCATTTCTGTATTATTTTTTTTACTTTATTTTAATTTATTTAAAACTTTTATATCCTTTACCGAGGGCTTGGGATGGTCTTACAATAAAACAGAGTAGAGCATCAGCATTCAAATTAATTTCTAAACAATAAAGCCCTGCATTACAATCATACTCAAAGCTTAAAATACTAGGAAAATAAAAAGGTTTGAACCTGGCGCCAAAAAGGATGAAGTGTTGGAGCCAGGAGAACCTCTCTGGGGTGTATGTTTCATATGTGTCTGTGTGTGTGTGAGAGAGAAAGAGCACACAAGTGCTCAGGGAATCAATGCTGCAAAAAGAGTCATGTGCAAATGCGAGTTGGCCTACACAACCAAACTTTCAGGTACAGGAGGCATGTGTGTGCTTCGAAGGGATGTGACCACTGAGGTTCTGGTGGTGGGACACCTGTGCTCAGAGCATCTTGGCATGGAAATCACACCATTGACCCATTCAGCCCAGTCCTGAAACATGAACACATCGTCCTTGTGGTTGCCCCTTGCCAAAGCTGGTCCCTTTGATATGCGATGGCATTCCAGGCATAGCTCGTTAAGGGATGGGGAGGTCTCTTCATCTCTGGAGGACCTGAGTTTTGAAGCTGGTCCTACAGCTGGGATTCGGATACAGCTGGTATTCCAACATTAAGCTGTAGCCTCTCTTTAAGAAAAGTTTCCCCTGATAGCATGCTTCACAACAAAACCTTTTGTGATCAACGGATTTGTTCCACAAAACATGAACTTCTGTTCTACTGGGTTTTGTTGTTTCATTTTTTGGTAATCGGTATAAAAACCAGTTGGAGCCCACTCAAACATAAACACATAAATTATCCATCTCATGCAAATATCTTCCCAACAGCCACAGCACCAGGAGCAAAAACTGAACATTTTTTAAAAAGAAAAAGTCCCCTTCCTTTTTATGAAAAACACACACGCACATTTACAGTTGCTGGGAAGGAATTAACAAAATAATACACGTTAGAAGTGTTCTGTGGCATTGCAAAGCCCCCCACACGGAGAAAGCTGCAGTTGATGAGTAGAATGTGAATCTTTAATGCTACGCAGACAGCCAATGCCTGCCATATAAACGGGTGATTCATCATTTTATACCCATATTTCAAGCTGATGAGAAACAACTGCATTAAAACATTTCAAAAGCCAGCAAGAACTAAGCTCAAACTGGAAACTCTCTCACTGTAACGGTCTTGGTCTCTGACGAATTCATCTTGAATTTTACTCTGTTTTTAATGTAGCTTTCAACCCAGCAATTTAAAAGGAGTGCTTCAAGATACCAAACTAAAAGAGCTGCACAAAATCTTGCCTCTCAGGACAAAAATCTTGTTCAAAATGGTCAGTGGCCAACCTAGGTGCACTGCGTGTCATGATGGACGGGGAAGGTGGAAACGGAACTGGGGACTTCGTGCTTACCTTTGTTTGCTACTGTGTTGAACAACTTTTCGGAACTTGCATCAGATCCCTAGAAAGAACAATGAAAAAGCAGTTAGACCGGTCAGTCGAATTTAACAAAACAAGGAAAGAGAATCTGGGTTGCATTTCAGGGAGCACAAAGTACAACATGTTGGTCAAGTCCCAGGCAGATAGAAATGATGTGCGGGGTGGGGAAGAGGTTGGAAACAAAAGACAGCCCTGGAAAAGCCTCTCATCCGAAATGTCCAGCAGATGGTGCTATTTAGTCGTGTCTGATCACCTGCAGCACCCATCCTTGGGTGTTTCTAAGCCACGGAAGTGAAGTCCGTGCATTTCCCTGGCTTTGCTTCTTAATTGTTCCATTTCTGAGTTAACAGCACCCGCTAATCAATCAAGGAAGACATGCAAAACTCGGATCCCTTCCAAGAAGCAGGATCTACCAATTTGCATTTCGACTCTTTGTCCAAGCAGAGCTCAAGAAGGAATACAGAATGGTCTCTTTGGACAATCTGGAGATGAATTCGGTAGGGCTGAGACACGTTAACCCAGTCACAGGTGAGAGGGAATTTAAACTCCACAATTCCCAGGTTGTTGGTAGCTCAGTTGGATGAGGATATAGATTTCAAGCTGCACATACCCTCTTTTTCTTCTTCAGAAGCTACCATGATTCATATTTGTGAGGATCCCTTTTGCCAATATGGGGCAGTCACCAAGCCCAGGGGCAGATTGTGCTCACTGTCTCGATCTCAGATTACTCTTGGCCAACGCCAAATGCAACTCCCAAAATGGCATGATTTATTTCTAAGCATTCCCAAGATGTAATTCTCATTGATTACATCAGCTCTGAAAAAACCCAAGCTTCCACGGCTTTGTTTATGCAGAAATGCTAATTCGTTCTCTATCGTACAGCTCTTTTAACACTGATCTCCCTTCTAAGGATATATTTACAGAGAGAGAAAAGCGACACTGAAAAACACAGAGTCTTGACAAAGCCAATGTATGCACACTGAAACCCAAACTCCAATGCATTTCTGAACATTTGTCCAGAGGGTAAGCACCCTGCCAGTCTGCTGACATGGACAAAACATGCCCCCGCCCCCCCAGCGCATGCCAAGGACGCAACCCTTTGGGGACTTCCTTTATGCTTCAGGAACTTATCACAGGCTGAAGGCTACCGCTGGTTTTCAATCGCCATTAGCAAACGTATGAAGAAGCAGCATATTGCAACCATATTTTCAAATGCGGCATATTTTTTTCCAGTGATGAAGACTAGGCTGCAGTGACTTTTTAAGAAAAAGACATGAGATCCTTCCCTTCCAACTTTTTGTGTGCTTGAAAATTAGCCATACCACATATAACGAGGTGTGTGTACACGGGAATGTAGCCCGCCATCTACTCTGGTCAGGCATGGCACGACGCAGTCTCTATGGAATTTTCATCCACCACTTGGGTTCTCTTATTTCACCTACTAAAGTTGGGCTTCAGGGTCCAGACTGAACAACTCTGCAGTGTCTACAGTGCTCTAGATTCATGCTTAAATGAGTCGCATTGAAATCAGTGGGCCTAAGTCAATGGCTTCATTGCCCCATTGAGTTCAATGGGTCTACTCAAAGCATTCCTAAGCCTGAGTCCAAACCCAGTATGGTTTGGAACTTCCCAGGTTACAGCATTGATTGAGACAGACCATCTATCTCCTAACATGAAACGGTTCCCCGGAATGGAGGAAATGGTCATTTAATTCTCAGTTTCTAAGCCACCCGATAACAAATGTGCTCTGCGCAAGAAAGCAGTGCAGGTATTGTATGGAAGCTACATAGGAGCAAAATATTTTAAACAGCTTTGTGTGTGTGGAAGACTGCAACAGACTTTGCATAATTGGTGTGAGGCTGGTTAACATAAAAGGCTGGCTATACAGAACATAGGAACACCATAAAAATGCATGTGGATGCATTTGTAAATAGGATATAAACACAGATACAAACTGCTAAATGTTTGTTGATGTGATATGTTTCTATTTCAGAGCAAGTTCCAGTGTGTTACATCCGAATCGCTGTGCACAGAAGTCCATCTCGAGGTGCAAAGTGAAAATGTTAGCAGGTCTTTTATTGACTTGTAGCTCTTCATTTGAGCTCTAAGGGGGGTCACTTCTTAATAATCCTGAGTGGACTTCAGCAGGTTAATGTGCCTTGTCTTTAGGAGATGTGACCTGGGAATCCATTTTCTGATGCCAAGCCCTGTTTACACTGGGTGCATTACCTGCTGTGATGGAAAGCTGCAAATGAGCAGTAGGTTTCGTCACCCACACAGACCAAACTGAAGAGGAAGAACATGTTTGCTCCAGAGAGCAAAGCAAACATATCACTCACTCAATCTGAGGCATTTCTTGTGGCTTCTCTCCTGTTTCCTTTCAACTGGACCCATGTAGGCAGAATAGCTTTCTATACCACATGCCACCTTGCCCGTTTAAATCCAACATCTCTGATCCTGCCCATAAATGCATCTTCATTTTCTCCCTATCATCACCATACCGTCTTATATATACACCCCAATCCCAGCTGGTTTTAAGAGCACCTATGGACTGAAGTTATTTTAATATTGGTGCTATTTCAGTATGTTAAATGTAAGGTCTAAAATAGTTACCCTGTTCCAGGAAAAACAGGGATCTCCCTCAAGTTTGAAAGGAGAGTGAATGACTGGGAAAAGAGATATTTACCTGTGGAACACGGTGACAGCCATGGCTAGAAAGGTCTCAATAATGCTAACAATCTTCACTAGTTGCGACATGAGACAGAACACTGCATCAAATGAGTGTCAGGTAGCCATTGAAACTAACTTCTCTGATCATTTCAAGGGGGGCAAAGCCAGGCGCACCCAAAGTGGGGAGCACCCCTTGGCCCCTTCTGCTTGGATCTTTTGTGGATCAAAACAGGGTGTGTTTGATCACTCCTTTACAAATAAACCGATTGCTTCCTCCTTCGGTCAAAAAGGGAATGTAATGGCAGCCCTTTTAATTACGGTATTTCCTCTTTTCTTCTGCTAAGAGCAAGTGGAGAAGTCAAGATAAGCATTCCACAAATGGCTTTCGCTTTAGAAAAAACCCAAAGGAGAAGCAAAGAAAAATAAGGGGGGGAATGAAAGACGACTGCCAGAAAAGCAACAGTTGTGATGTTTACACTCTTCTAGGCAGGAGCAGACAGAAATCTACAGATGGCCATGAATCAAATGCCCCTTTGAGCGGGTTGGGGAAAAAGCAGACCATTTCTCCTTTTCTCTCTGGATGCTCTGATTTGGCACCAGCCTCTAAAAGTGTTTCAGATGGGGCACTTCGGGGCACGGGGCTTTGATTCCATCTCCTCTCGATTAAGAGCCATGCTCGTGTTCCATCAGGTTCCCAAGTGCATTTCTATGTACAGGTGCCAACTTTAGATACATTTTGACATGCATGGCTCTGGCAAAGCATGCTTTCAGTCTGGTGCCTCTTCCCACAAAGGATGAGCCCCTCAGCGATTGCGCGGGGAAAACTGCACGAACAAGGGCTGGGGGAAGAGAAAGGAGCTCCCCCCCCCACACACACACACTTTCCTCAGCCACCTCTTTAAGCCTTCCAGCCACCACGCATCTCCCAGCCTTCTTGGACTCAAACGTAGAAGTCAGCAAACCTCCGGGCAAAGGCAGCATTTTCTTCGCTTTTCCATCAAGGAATTTATTGTCATACAGGGGGATGTATTACACAAAATATTTCCTGTCCAGACAGAAAGGGCTGGCGCTTTTGTTTCTTGGCATACGCTGTGGCCAAGCACTTGCAAAAACATCGGCTCCGACATGAAAGGCTTTTGAATCCATCCCTCCAGTCACCTCCCGCCTGAGCGGAGGGCGGGGGAATCCTCCGAGCCATAATTAGGGGCTGAGAGACTGCTTTGCATGAAGGAAGTCTGCACCAGCAGAAGATAGGGTCTGCGCGCTGCAGCCTATTAGCGGGACGCAGCGGGACGCGCATCCCTTCGGCCCTGGGCGGCATGAGCAAGCCCAGATGCTTTTCCATTCATGCTCCCAATGCAGGGAACTGCTTGTGATCTTAACCTGGAGGCAACATCTTCCTTGGAGAGAGCGGAAGCAGCCCGTCCCTCTTCTCCCAGACACTGTCTGATTCTTCCAACCCACCGGACTGAAACTGCTTGGAGACAATAGTTTGTGTATTTCCCCCCAGAGCTTTGAAAGCTGCAAAGCAGAACCATGTTACAATCAGGCTCAGATGGGGGGCAGTGGGCCCCACCTGCAGACTTCTCTCTCTCCCTCTTTCTCTCTCTCTCTCTTTCTTTTGTCCCTCTGTTCTTTCTTTTCCTTTTCAAACATCTTCCTGTTGTTACAATCCCTTTACAGTCTTCCTGTTGTAAATCTGACCTGCTAAGAACCTCCTAGACCAGAAGCTGAGGCGGGATAGCAAAGAAAATCCACACAGATAAGGAGAACAATCGTACCCATTGCACTATGGGGCAGAGAAGGCAACTTACGGTCCATCCAAGTCATGGTAAGTCAGTCCAATGTAGGGCTTGGATACTTGGCTCAGGGTATGCAGAGCTGGGTTCAAATCCATGCTCAGCAAGGAAGTTTGGTGGGTGACCTTGGGCCAGTTGGCATCTTCCCACCTCACCTACTTCACAGGGCGACCCAGGGGGTAGCTAAGCAGGCGGTGAAGGTGGAAAGAAAACTGCAGATGGCAAGCAGAGAGGTTTAGCAAGAACAACGGGCAACACTCAGCCATTGCTTGCGCTGCATCTGATTCTGCTTCGTGGCCACGTCGGCACGCTCGGGGGGCAAGGTCTGGGCATGCTTGGGAGCAGCAGGCTCCGAACTGGCCTGGGACTGGGCGGCCAGGACCTGAAGGTGCTGAATGCTGGAGCAGCTAAGCCAAGCAGCCCAGGGTCTGGAGAGCATCTGGGAAGTCTAGAGACTCCACCTTTAGTGCCACTGAAGAACAGCATGCTGGAAAAGCAATACACGGACGGATAAAAACGACACCGGTAAAGCCAGCCTGAAAAGCCAACTGGG